CCGACCCTAATAACCCCTTGGTTGAATCGGTGCAAATGGCTCAGCCGATTAAACCTTCAGGGAACTCCACGTCTAAGGGAGACGAGGCGGCAGGTGTGATAGTGTTGTTATTTGTTGACAATAATGGCTCACTAGAGGCTTTGGAACAAAAATCTCCATATATGCTTCAGCAGTCAAACTGAGCGAACATAAAAAAAATGAACGATAATAGATGTAGTATTGCTTGAGTATCATAAAATAAACATGATGATTCGTCTAGAGCATAAAAAATTCTAAGAAAGAGCTCATGTAGTCTATTCAACCAAATGCAATGAAAGTAACGAAGGATGAACATAGTATTGCACAAGATTCATTTAGAATACATTATATAAGTAAAAAATAACTAAAATGATGATTTTTTCACAAAATGTACTATATCAATGCGCGCAAAGAGAAAAAAATATCAAGATCCTTGCAATTGCCCAAATTGGAATGCGACAATAATGACATACAACAAATGTAACAATTCTTATATCAAACTCATAATGACTCGATTGCATTAAAAACTGCTCAAATGTTGCACATTTGAGAAATGAGTTGCAATGACAATTCTGGAATATAAAAAAAATTCTAGAAAGAACATCCATATCGCACAGGTCATAATGCAAGAAAATTCTGAAAAAAAAATACATGCACGAGACAATAGCAAGCAATTCGAAATACACGAACAATGAATTATGAAAAAATATGATATACACATCATTAAGAAAAGAAATCAACTAAAATAAATTAAAATTAGATTGGATTAAATATTTGTGTATATTATCATTTTTAAATATTTGTCTGGTTAAAAATGCCTTGGTCGTATAAAATACCACATCAGTATCGCTCGTATCATAAAACAAACACGTTGATTTGTCCAGAGCATAAAAATTCTAAGAAGGCTCATGTGGTCTATTAAACCAAATGCAAGGAAAGTAACGAAGAATGGGCATAGTATTGCATAAGATTCGTTTAGAATAAATTATACAAGTAAAAAATAGCTCAAATGATGATCGTTTCGCAAAATGTACTGCGTCAACACGCACAAAGAGCAAAAATACCAAAGAAAGATCCTTGCAATTGTCCAAATTGGAATGTGACTATAATGACATGCAACAAATGCGACAATGCTTATATCAAGTTCATAATGACTCGACTGCATTTTAAACTCAAATTTGCACATTTGTGAAACGGGATGCAATGACACGTTTGGAATATTAAAAGAAAAAACAAGAAAGGCCCACAGGTTATAATGCAAGAAAGCTCTCAAAAAAATACATGCATGAGACAAAGACAAGCAATTCGAGATGCATGAATAATGAATTATGGAAAAATATGATATACATAACATTAAAAAAAAAGCAATTAAATTAGCTAAAAAAAAATTAAAATTAGATTGGATTAAATATTTTTGTATATTATAGTTGTTAAATAATTATGCAACCCCCACCCCCACCCCGCCGCAT